TTCCTACCCATAGGGTAGGGTGAACGCCCCTAATTGTGTTCATGTTATTACCTAAGAAAAAAAAAAGTTATTTAATGAGTTATTAGTATCAAATATTATTTCAACCACTTATTATACATTTACGCGTATTTATCAATCGTGCTAATTTTAAAAACATGTTGTGATTGTATTGATGTGTGAAAATGACAATATCCATTAAATTGGTCATGAGTTGCTATTCATTTGTTTTTTAATTTTTAATTTTTTAAAATACAACAATATATTTTATGCACAGTTATTTTAGTCACCGGTAGAGAGAGCCCGGGGCTCCTCCCCTTACTTGAAAGTTTACAGTTTCATTTTCTATTTCACTCTCTGATGTGGGTTCTTTTTATCCTTCTCTTACGCTGCTATTTAACTATCGGTCATTCAGGAGTATTTGGCCTTATAAGATTGTCCTTTCTAATTCACACGAGATACCGGGTGCCCCTAGTGTAGATATTTTAAAACCGGAATCTAGAGAGAACTTGTAATGAAAAATAGTCATCAAATAGGGACATGCCACTTGGACTATATGTTATTTACATTTTTTTATTTTTGTTTCGTATCATGTTCGTGTTATTATCTAAAAAAAATTATTTAATATATTATGAGTGTCAAATATTAATTCAACTAACTTATCATATGTATTTATTGATCGTGTCAATTTTAGAATCATATCGTATTTGTGATGATAGTCGGATCGACAAAAAGCCATTGAATTGGCCATGAGTTTTTATTCATTTGATTTTCGATTTTGGATTTTTTGAAATACAATACTATGTTTTATGCCCAGTAGTCTTAGTCACTAGTGGAGATATTTTAAAGGGTATTTCGCACTTTGCATCCTAAAAATCTTAAGATTTTTATTTTATAACTTCAAATATTAAATTTTATATATTGTACCCTTAATATATCAAAAATTTTGTAGTATGACCCTTATGTTAACTTCTATTATTTTTTTTGTCAAAAGTTAACCTATTGACACTGATGAAAAACTAACAAAAATTTCACATGTCACATTTTAACACTTTTGATACAAGTCCAATATTGAGGGTACAAATTAAAAATTTTAAAATCTTTTAGAATACAAAATAAAATTCGCCCTACTTTAAAACAGGAATCTAGAGAGAATTTACAATGAAAAACAGCCATCAAATAAATTTGGTTTCTTGACCAATTATTGAATATATTTGCCTTCAATTTTACTTGGACTAGTTTGTTTTTAGACCAGGTTACACATGCAAACACAAAAGGCAAAGAACATAAACTATACTATAGTTAGTTGATGGACTTTAGTTTAGGGGGACAACCCTTGTTTTTTTTGGTCAATTAGGGCACACTCTTTAAGTTTTTTTTGGCAAAAAAATCCAAAACAAATTTACATACTTTGAGAATATTCACATTTACTATACTAAACTATACTATAGTTAGTTGATAACCAGGTACACATGCAAACACAAAAGGCAAAGAACATAAACTATACTATAGTTAGTTGATGGACTTTAGTTTAGGGGACAACCCTTGTTTTTTTTGGTCAATTAGGGCACACTCTTTAAGTTTTTTTTGGCAAAAAAATCCAAAACAAATTTACATACTTTGAGAATATTCACATTTACTAGTACTACATACATTAAAGAGGTTTTTTTGAAACTTCAAGGGACAATAACAACGCACTTAGAACGATAATTGAAAATTTATATAGAGAATAGCTTAATATCTTATTTGCTGCTATCATGTTTCCGTGACAATGTAATCATGTTTAAGCGTTCAAAAATCGAGTTTTCTTTTTTTTTTAAGAACACTCGATGTTGTTGGCATCATAATCAAATTTTCTTGTAGAATAAACACATTTTACATCAGAATAATGGCTTATGCAATAATTAAGTCAAGTTGACACCACAACTATCAACTATGCATCCTCTCAAGTTGAAGTGTTCGACACACGTCTTCTTCTTTTTGTCTTTAAGATATAGTACAATTGGCAATTTTATTCATGTTTTCCCATAGATTAAATACACTTTCCATCAAGATAAGTTAGTACGAAAATTATGTTTTCTTCAAATTTAAACGTTCGATACACAAATCTTACTTTTCGTTTAAGATATAGTACAGTTGATTACGTAATCATATTTTCTCATAAAATAAATGCATTTGGTGTAACTATGACTAGAAATAAGGGTGTGTTCAATTGTCAGTTGTTCTAACGTAGTTATTATAGGTATAAATATTTAAATAATACGTACATACGAAAGTAGCAACTTAAATAATATGGGTATTAAGTTGTTGATTTGAGCTCTGCGGCTAACATTAACTTCGTATACCCATTGCCTATATTCTCGTGGTTCACAACTTTGAAAAATTATATTAAATTTTTTCTTTTTTTTTTTTGTTGAGAAGTGATAAACTCCAAAAAAAAATTGTAGAATCAGCTTGTCAAAGTTGACATTTCAATGCCATAGGAAGGAGTTCCCCTGGGAAGTCACTTCTTTTTTTGAGGATATCAAAGTTTTTCCAAGACAATTAAACTTGAACTTTTTAAACAAGCTCAGAGCATGTAATAATATAGTTCATTAGATGACAACATCTGTTATATCCCATTCTCTCTCCCCGAGTTGGGGCAGCTGTCCACCATTAAAGCTTTAGGCTTTTTTTTTTTTAAATTCTGATTCTATAAGCTTATTTGCGAGTTAAATGAAAATGGCAAGATCAACATTGGGGGTGTTCATCTTACTCTATAGTAAGAATTATGGTAGTTCATCTTTCTATCTGATACTTGGTAAAAGAATTTTTTTTGACATACTTTATCCGATCAATTGTATTATTCCTACTCAAATTCTGTCCAAAATAATAGAGTAAGAAATCGGATGAATACTTATTTTTTAATTATTAATTTTTAGATAATTTTAACAATTTAATTAAGTAACCTGCACCAATTAACTGACACAATAAATCAATAACACTAAATAGAGCACAATAAATTTGATAATACATAAACAATTACAATAAAAAACAACAAGAAAACCATAAACATCAATATATCACATATAAAAAAGTCATAAATATCAATAAAATATTAGAGTTTCTAGATTTTTGGATCTTAATATATATATATATGCGAATAGGGTAGGGTAAGAATACAAAATTTTGTAGGTATTCTGCATTCTTACTCGATTTTTGGCGTAAGACCAAAAAATCTTTCGTTGGCCTGCCCGATTTTTTCGAGTAGCTGATCAATAGAGTCAAATAAAATAGGATAGAATCAAAATTTGTGAGTAATAGAAAAATTGAACACCCTTAGTCAATATAGTAGGCATCACTCATAAATTAGTCCAACTCTTCTCTTGTAAACATGATAGGCATTACTCAAAAACGTAGTACTCTCAATAATTAATCACTATTATTTATTTTTTTAATAAAAATTAATTTTATAATTCTCTTTTTAATTTCTAAAACAAGTAGTGAGAAAGAGAAAAGAGTGAAAAATGTATTTTGAAGAAAAAAAGAAGCCTATTATAAGTTATGTTCAATTGTAGAGGTCGAATACTCAAATGAATAAAAGTGAAACCAAAATAATATTATTACATTGCTATATCTTTCAATATTTATTTTTTATTCTATTTTTTGATCAATTTTATATTATTGGGGTTTTGTAATTTTTAATGTTTTTATATTATATGCTTAAAGATTAATTTTTTCACATTATATCTACAATGTATTAAAAATGTCTAGGAACTGGATTGATCCCGAAAGAGAGATCTTTTCTTTCTGGTTATGAAATTGTTTAGATTGAAATGCCAAGGTATGGACTAGTGCTGGTAAATAAACGAAATTGTGAATTCTCACGACAAGTGTTTTCGATATCTTTGGTTTAGTGAAAGTCTTCCTTTGAAACTAAGTCGTAGTGACGAAAGGAATACAGACATGCAAGTCTGATCAGCCTATTGCTTCTTTATCTCTTAATTTTACTTTTAAATCATAGAGCAACACCAAAAGAAGTAAACTTTTAGGGTTAAGAATCGAGATGAAGAGTGAATGTTGTTCTTATTAAGTAAGTTCAAAGAATGACTTGAGTAAAAGTTGGAGTGACATCGATCAAGCTCTTTCTTCTCTCATTTTTGTATCAGTGCAGTTCAGGGGTGGTTACCTCAGTTAGTTTAGCCATTACTTTAGAAAGATTTTTATAATTTGGCTCTTATGTTAGTTTATATTATTTTTTTCCTCAAAAGTCAATCAATTGACATAAACGAAAAAATTAACGAAAAATTAATAAAAGAGTCACATTATAACACTTTTAATATATTGATAGTGAAATGTCAAAAATTTAAATTTTGAGGGTATAATGTGTAAAATTTATTCTTAAAAAATACAAAATACTAATTTAAAATTTTTTTAGAGTACATAGTGAAATTCACCTATATTATCCTATTGACATGCCACTTGGACTGTCCAGTAGGAAGGTTTCGGTCCGTTTGGTCTTAAAAGAGCCCTTCTGTGGGACACGTGTTTCTCTGAGCCCACTGCTTAACCAGAAAAAAAAAAAAACGAAGAAGAAATTCCCTACACTGGAGAGGGAGAAAATATTCAATGCAACGTGGCGATACGTATGATTTGGGCAACGAGTACGTACGACACGTGGCGAAAGTCCACATCGGACACGCCACCAGAAGCCTCGCATGCTTTCTTTAGGTCGACGGAGGGAGGACCGACCTTCCAGAAACTTCTGGGGAACTCCTGGCTAATAACAGCCCAGACATCAACCGGCCAGATCTCGCCACGTGTCCACTCAACCACGCGAGCATCCGACGTGGCATCCCCCTTCTCCTGAAAATGATACTCCCAGGCCACTTCTCAATTTTCACACAAGGACTTCATTTACACATACACAAAACCTCAAAATTTTACACGGAAAAGCTAAGAGAAATTAGAGAAGAGGCTTGAGCTCTTATTTTTCTGTTTGGATGTCTAGAAAATCAATCGGGATGAATGGAGAGGGAAGAGGAGGAGGTGAAGAAAGTGTGGAAATGGAGGGAGTGAGAGACAGAGAAAAATTAATCTTTATGTGGGGCTACCTTCCGGGAGCTTTACCGCAGCGGTCGCCGCTGTTGTCACCGGTGGTGGTGAGGCTTCCGCCGTCGATTGGGCCTGGAACTTCGTGGAAGGACGTTTGCGGCGGCGGTTGCGGATTTGCTATGGCCATTTCAGGTGCTTTTTTCATATGATTTTTCCCGATTTCCACATTGGTTCAGGAAATAACATTTATTGAGTCAAGATTGAACATTACATTATGGAATATGGAGTTATTTCTGGAATTTTACTGCTTTTGCTGGTGCGTGTATTGTGAGTATTCTGTAGGTTTGATGAAAATTTTCGTTGCTTTGTCCAAGTTGAAGTCGTTATGAGGAGCTCGTGTGCTGCTTTAAGCAGCTGATTGTTTTTCTATTTTAGATTGCTTGTATTGGAGGTGACTATCTTCTGATACTTCCCGGCTACTGCCTCTTGTGAATATGAACGATGAAGCTTGACCTTCTGGTGATTGAACTTTTGCACCCTCACTTGGGGTTTAAAATGTGTGATTGATTGCTCTTTTTCCTGTTGCATTTTTTGGATTCAATTTTCATCTCTGCTGAAATCAATGTTTACTGTCTCGCGTTAGTTGTAATTTGTGAGCTTTGTTGCCAATTAAACTGCTGTGGTATCGCTTTCTATTTATGTTGGTCCGCCTTTCTCATTGAAGCTTTCTGATGTGGCCTGTAAGGTTTTGGGTTAGTTGAAGCATGGGGCATAGGTTGGATAGGAGTCCTGAATAACAATTTTCTTTACCTTTTCAATATAGAATTGTGTGGATATTAGCTTTCGAATGTAAGACAAGTACTTCTAGTTTGCTAAATTTCTGTACAGGTACTGGGGTGCAATATGCATTGGTGCAATTGCTAGTCGAACTAGTATTATTGGTACTGATATTTTCTTTATTTGCTCTGCCCAGATTCCGGGAAGCTCATAACATGGGGTTCAACAGATGATCTAGGTCAAAGCTATGTGACATCTGGGAAGCATGGGGTATTTAGCAGCACTAGATGCCGCGCTTCTATTCCTTGGGGTTTCTTTTTTTTTTCTTTTTTAATTTTCTCTTGAAATTAACTGGATTTTCTTTACATTGCTTTGTCAAGGAAACACCAGAGCCTTTTCCTCTTCCTGGTGAAGCTTCAATAGTAAACGCTGCTGCATGTTGGGCACATTGTGTTGCAGTTACAGGTACTGCTGAGTTACTCTCTGCAATAGGGTAGTAACTAGTAAAACTCGGTTCATTTGCCCTCGTCTGGGTTGCGGGGTCAATGATATAAAAACATAAGGGACCAAATTCTAGGAACTTTCAGTTGTTTTCATTTAGTAATTATGACATATTTAATTCCAACTAGAGGAAATGACTAGAAGAAGTTTCTTTTTTGATATTTTTGTATGGCAAAATCTCTTCAGATTCAAAATTGTACTATTATTCTTCTACCTGCTTTTTCTTCAACGATTAAACATAGCACGAACTGTACCGATGGACATAAGCTGATTAGGCCGGTGTCCTGTCTAATCTTCTTTTCTACCGTGGCCATCATGTTTATTGCTTTTAATAAACCTGTCTGCCCAACTATGGACTCAGTACCCTTTGATTTTCCAAAACAGAGGGTGGAGAAGTTTATACATGGGGATGGAAAGAGTGTGTTCCCTCTGGGAAGGTATTTGGCGATCCATCTATGTTAAGTTTAGAGAAGGAAGTGTCTGAGCGACAGAGTTCATTTTTGACGGAACAAGGTAATATTTGGTGGCCTTTTAATCCAAGTTATACGCAGAAGGTTCTGTCAAAATGATGAAGAGTAATTTTATTTCAGTGAGCCCTCGCTCTCAGGGCTCAAAATCTAGTGGTGGAGCTGTGTCTGGTACGGATATTGGAGGAGGTGGGGAGGAGGGTACTAAGCGAAGACGAATATCATTGGCTAAACAAGCAGCTGAAAGCTCATCATCTGGAGATGAAACTCTATCAGCGTTGCCTTGTTTGGTGACATTGAATCCAGGAGTAAGGATTGCCACAGTTGCCGCTGGTGGGCGGCACACTTTAGCATTGTCAGGTAATTTTCTTTGTCCTGCGTCCACTGGCATTCCTTATGCCATGAATTTGAAGCATAATTCTGTCTGCATTGTTGGTGCAATACACTAGTCTGTAGGCAATATTACTTTTGAAACTTTGTAAACCAAGACACTTGATATATCCCATTTTTTCCAAGTTTCAGACATAGGGCAGGTGTGGGGTTGGGGCTATGGCGGTGAGGGGCAGCTAGGTTTGGGGTCTCGGATACGTATGGTGTCCTCTCCACATCCCATACCGTGCATTGACTCTTCTACTTTTGGAAAAGATAGATCTCTAGCTCTTTCTCGAGGAAGCTTGGGTTCAGAGGGACATGGTTTTAGGGTTCCAGGAAGTTATGTGAAGGGAATTGCCTGTGGAGGTCGACACAGTGCAGTAATTACAGGTGAGAGTCTCATGATTTGCTTGATACCTGGCCAAAAAGTCACATTTTTTTTAATTTAAGATCCATGCAAGAGGGACATTGGAGAAACTGCTAGTCATATGTCCATACTCCATACTTTTTTAATTGTTTTCTCTCTCTCTCTTTACCTCTAATAAATTACTGTTGCGAAGTTGCATTCCAACAGTAGAAAAGAC